TTTTTAAATGTTAGATTTACGAGTATATCAATATAATGACATAATATTTATAATAACAACGGATTGAGCCTTTGAAATTCTGTTCTACGAAGTTAATTTTAATTTATTTTTAAAATGGATGGAGAAATAAACCTATATCTAATTAATTTTAATAATATGCTCATTATGGCTAGTAGAGAACGGTGCATAATGCAAGCCCGCATGCAGATTCTCGTATTATCGTAATACCGTCGTTGGCAATAATAACAAGAAATATATTCTTCTAATTTTATAAATAATTTATATTATATTACAATTTTAGTAACATTGGTATTATAATTGTGTAGGGGCACTATAATATTTATCTAGATAAGCCCATTTTTTATCTAAGCTAAACATTAGATAAATCGTAACATAATCATCTATAGATACCTACTTTAAAAGATAATTTATTTCAAAAAATCTTATCTAGATAATTCCCAACACTGAATGCAGTATGCCAGTATAGTGACATTACAATAGACATTACATAGTACTTACTATCCCCCTCTATAAAAATATGTATGTACTCGTACATATGCACTATGCCACATTTAGACATTTTGAGCCCAGGTGCAAAAAAAAATTGGCACCCTTCAAGCCCCGGTGAAAAAAAATTGCTCCCCCGAGGGGCTTACCCACGGAAAATATAGGAGATATATCCTCATTAACCTTTTAGATTTTGAGCACAGAAAAGAATATTTGTTTTACAATGTGTACTTTTTTAAAAAATATTGTTTAGTAATTGCTTGATCAAAGATCAAGATCTTCGCAAAGATACATTTGAATTATGTCACTTAAACCTTGCTAATAATGCATCATATAAGTTGTTTTTTTTTATACATATTTAAGTAGGTTATAGGTACTTCATGGATAAATAAAATATAATTATATAAAAGTATAAAACTATGCAAATTGATATTAACTAAAAAAATTTCAAACAGCATAATACTATTATACTAAATTATATTATATAATTTTGTTATTAAAATAATTAAAATTTTAATAATTCACAAGTAAACAAATTTCTGACTACAAAATATTGGCACCCCTAAAATACTGGTGCCTGGGGCAGGTGTACCCAGCACCCCTCCCTAAATGCGGCCCTGTTAAATATATGTGTATTTACGTGTAATATTTTAATACACTTTATTTTAGTAATAGATTAAATTACTTATAAAACAAAATTTAATTTCCTGGAAGACTGTGCCATTATGTCAATTACTTAATCGGGTAGTATTACAGGTGTTGTTAGAATGTCCGATGAACAGTTAACATGGCAATCCCATTCAGTTACTTCTACATAAAAAAAAATATATATATATTAAATAAAAACATATAAAAGTGTCCTTTTTATTTTGTATATACCTGACCTATAGAATTTCTTAATACGTTTTTAGTCTTTTCAATGTCGAAAAAGATCTCTCTAGGGTAGCTGTTGAAACTGCCGAGGCTCAAAGAATGTGAAGTAATTTATGAATACATATTGGGAAGAATGTGTTTATCACACAACAAAAGTACATCAATAGTACTATAGTAGGTAGTCTTGGGGATTGAATTGAGTCTTTCAAAGGTTTGTTTTCCGCAACTTTAATTCTGCTTATTTTCTACTGTAATATTATAAACATCTACCAATGGCGTATACAAATGTAATATATTTTGAAAAGATTCTCGTTCTTCAGTAATTTGTTTTAACTTCAACTACGATGGTAGTCTCCATTTTCTGAATGCATGACCAATAATTACGAGAAATATTGTGTGAATTGTACAAAAACCATTTTTATAGTCTATGGCCAAAATCTTTTCTTTAGCTTCTTTTTTTTGGCCAACGGGAGGGAGGGGTAGGACCACCTCACCGTAGATCAAAAATTTCTGACACGAAACCACTTGTAAGTTACTTTAAATTAGTATATAAATATAACATTTAGGATTTATTATATTAATTTTTCTTAAATTTCATTAAAATTGAATTTATAAACTCCTTCATAAAATCCGGGCGAGTCATTCTAATAACTATAATGTAACACAATTTTAGTGTAAAGTATCAGCTATTTTTAAAATAAATGAACTAATATGCTAAAAGTGAGGTAGTGAATGTATTAAAAAAATGTTCTTAATATTTGGGAACCAGAGGCGGACTAGTAATAAAAATTGGCCCTTAGGAAACAGAAAATTCTGACCGATTTTGGGCTAATTATAAAATATTTAAAAGTTATCAGCCCGAATTTATTCAAGCATCCCAAATTTTAGCCAGGCCCCGGCGGGAATTGTTCACCCCCCACACTAGCCAGTCCGCCCCTGCACACAACACAATATGTAATTGGGAAACATGCACACAACATGTGTAGATTATTAATCCAAAAATATTTCATATACTTCAAACATTTTAATACAGACTATTTACCCACAAAATTTCAATTGATGTTTTGAGAATAATACTATTCATAGATAATGAATTATGGGTTTCTTTCAATTATAGGAATTCTAAGAAATTTTGAAATAATAAAATTAAACCAGGTATGAATTCAATAAAAGTAAAATTAACTTATTTCAACTTAAACCGATTCATATATTATAATTTTAAGTTACAATAAATAATATTACCTAATAAACATAATAATAATAATAATAATTATAATTATAATAATAATATAATAATCATAATGATAATAATTAAATTAAAACCCACTGATGCGAGAAAATGACAAAGTCAATAATAAACACAACTCTAAACATCTATACAACAACAAGTCATCTATAATGGCAGAAATGGGCCTACTTATATTTCTGAGAAACCAAAAAAAATTCAACATTATAATGATTAGTAAAATTTGGTACAAATAATTAATTTTTAAATCTTCTGTGAAAATCTTATTTGATAAGTTTTGTGTTAATCAGATTACTAAGAACATAATAATAAAAATCTGGATCATACATTATTGGTAACAAAAAAAAAATAATACAAATACAAATAAAAATCATGGACGGCAAATCTGCGAATGTGAATAGTCGTACAATATTTTGTAGTTTTTAATAATAGATAACCTTATTAATTATAAATGGACAAAAATAATAATACCAAAATTAAGAGTTAACAACTACATTGATATTTTTCATAGGTAAGTAAACTATGTATAATTGGACGAATACAATTTGAGAGATTGTTTAAACCAATAGATAGTATTATAGTAGCAAGTTATTCAACAAGAGAAACAATGAAGAATATCATATTATCCATGTAATCTAGTGCTCGTCCATAGCTATTAAATAATATTATGTAGTGGTAGTCTATAAAAAAAACCTCCTAATATACAATTAATTATGACCTTATATTTAATTACAGGAATTATTTTCATATTATGCTGTTTACAAAACATATTAAAAAACAAATGTAAAATTAAAGTGCAATACACTATATTATTATTTTATAAATCATACAATTAAGACATAAATCATAAATATAATGTATAAAAAAAACGTATATAAAATTACTATAAAGACCTACTGAAAGTAAGTACATAACATGTTAGAGGATTGGGTTTGGTGAAAAACAAATGGCACAAGATAGAAGGGGAGGAAGAATACAATTTAATAATCTGTTATCTATTTAATCATTTTTACTTTTAATACATTAATTAAATAAAATGGGAGTACACACAACCGTACATTTACTAGAGTAATTAGTTAATAATAATAATTAATACATATAATATGCAAAATACTTTGGAGTATAAACATTGTTAATCCTATTGAGAAAAAAATGTTTTTGTTAATTTTGGAACACATACACAGCATAATATCTAATCTATAATACTAAAAATTGTTGAAAAAAAAAAATAAAGCACTGAATCTAAAAACTGCGTTGTAGTTGAGGGTTATGATAATTGTGAACTTAGACAAATTTTGTTCGCTCTTTACTTGTTGTAAAATATTATTCAGGAGTTGATCTGAAACATAAAATGTTATATTATATAAATTATAGGTTTTTTTTTTTTTAATTTTATCAGTAGGAATATAGCATATTACTATGATAACATTTTTATTTAATATTTTAATGGATAAGAATATGTATTAATTAAAGGTGTACACCCTAATTAAAATGTACATGGCGGAATACATACAGTGTAACAAAAATACTTAAAAGGATTTGTTGGGCTTCCTATCTCTTGGTTAAAAAGTTAGTAAGAGTATACATTAGTTTATAATTTTATGTTTAATAGCATTTACATGTTAAACTCAAAACATCTGAGAAAAAAAAGTAAGGTATCTATGACAATAAAAATGCAAAGTTTATACTATCGTCGTCAGCGGGGGGATAAAATTAATTAATGAAAAAAACTAAGTAATTTAATTGTTTTATTTTTTGTAAAAGTTGAATGTTATAAAACCAATGATGTGAGAAATAATCTTCCAAAACCAAATGTATTGTTATGCTCTAAAAGAACAATAACTACAAATATTTTGGTATCGTTTAGTTTTAATGAAGTTTATTATATAAAAAAGTATTGCAATAAAATCCTCTAATTTTGACTCAAGCGAATGTATTAATGTACATTATTTTATTTTGAGTTTTTTCTAGGTATTGTTGTATTGTGTATTTCAAATCCATAGTTGACTTATAATTTCCCAGTTTTATTAATAAATATTTAGTGAAAATTACTATAGAATACTGTAATTACCTACTTCAAGCTATTACTATTTATTTTTGTTCTTTTGTCAAAAAAAAAGACATGGTCATTATAATATACTATATAGGTACAAATTTACAAAGATTTTTAAGCGGGCATATATAAAAATAATAATAATGTAATCCAATTTCATTTTATTTCTAACATTACTCTTTTCATTCCTTAAGAGCATCCACTTTAATTACATTTTTAGAGAAAGTTAGATTATGAACTAGGAAAATATATTTATGTTAAATAAGTAATATTATACATATATTTAAATTTACCAGAGTGATTAATGATAGAATTGTTTTTTTAAAATTCTAAAGACTGATCTGCACTGCCTTCTACTTCTGAGTCTCCATCCTCATCATCCATATCAGTATCACTGTCTAATATACCATTGTCCACAGATTTATCTTTTTGGTTATCTTCTTTTCCATACCATAAGGCTGCTGTAAGGTGCAATTAATTCATGTTCAGAATATTTATTGTATTAAATTGTTTAGATAGGAAGTATAATTTATAATAGTACACTTACAGCAATTTGGTTTTCCTCGAACACGCGAGTTAGGCACTTCTACGCCATGTTTGTCTACACACCAGCACATACCTACTGAAGAATGACATTGAGTGTGCTCATAGTATCCTTCAGCATCACAAGCTGGGACATAAACACCTAAAAATATACATTCACACATATATAATATATAAATATTTAATATGTAACAATATGTTTGGTTTCTAATTAATTGTTTTCAAACATAAATGTATGGTAAAAATATCATAAAACTGATTATAGTGTTGATTAGTATTAATATTTCAGTGTTCAATATAATACCTATTTGACATATTATAAAATTGTTAATACCTAGAGCATTTGGTGATATTCTTCTTTTGATAGCTGTGCATGGACGATCGGTTTTGTCAAAACATCGACACCATTCATAAGGGCTTACAAAAATGTCACTAAAAGTAAATATATTAAATTAAATACATTTTTCAGAACATATATTTTATATGAAATTCATACCCATCAGTATCACAAGTGTCTAAGAAAGGTTTAATGCACATTTCATTTTTATCATGTTCTAAGTCATAAAGTTCTTGCAATGACAATTTCCCATCTGAATCCAAATCCAGATGTTGGTACATCCAGCGAACTTCCCACTTGCATCCATTAATGAATTTTACAGCTACAAAACATTTCCAAGTAAAATACAAAGTACTTAATAAAATCAAAATTAATTTAACTACCTTTTCCCTTATTCTTTGTACGTCTACGTTTAGCATCAGCCATGATCACTGAAAACCAATCTAATAGTCGGTCACCCATAGATTGCAATGCAGAAGGAGGGCAGTCTTTATTCCAAGAAGGATGAGATACTTGGTTGGTTGCAATAACTTCATTATCCATTTTTTCATGGCGTTTGTCTTTGACTGGTTCGAAAATAGAGTACTATAAGTAAAATCAATAAATATAATGAGAAAAAATTAGTGGACAAAAATTATTAATTTACAAACCTTGGATACTTGATTGTTGTTTTTTATATATTTGATATATTTATAATGTTTGTTTTCATACTTGAAATCTTCTGGTGCAAAAATGTACTTTTCTTCATATTTGGATACTGGAGCAACAGTACTCTGTTTCAATTTCTCACTTTCCAGTGTAGCTTTATATTTGTTCATAAAGTTTGTCATGCGTTCGGCTTGTTTTTGTTTTTTACGTTCAACATCTTCTTGTTCTGTTAAAAAATAAAGTTTCCAAATAATAATAATAAAAGTATAATAAATTAATAAGTACATATTGTTTAATGCATACCTTTGCAAGGACAAAATCCTTTGCAGTTTACTTTTATGTTTGTTGTATGAAGACAGTTATGATAATCTAGACGACACAATGAACTATATGTACGATTATCAGAACCGCATAGGAATGTAGGCTTCATTACAGGACACGGGTTACATCTACTGGAAGTTTAAATATAATTAATAATAGTGCTTATTAAAATTTAAGATTTTTTGATTCAAAATTGTCATCGATTTTAATATCAAACATTTTAGCATATTATTCCAAAAACCCAATTAGATGGAATAAGAACTTTATAATAGTAACTGATAAAAATATATTGATTTATATATATAGTAAATATGTATTATTATCAAAATTTAACTATTTAAGTCACCAAATAGTCAATTAATTATGTTAATAGTTGATGCATGTTTCGGAAACATGTACATAGGTTTCTCATTCTAAATATAAAAAAAAATTGTTCTACGTGTTTATAAATAATTTATAGCAGTGAATATTTAAAGTTTTTTATGTTATATAAGTTTATCTTCAAATTTCCTCTAAATAAGCTTTACAGTTGTTAACAATGAATATAACTTAAAGTTTTAAATAACTGACAATGACATTATTTTGTCCCAATATACTATTAACTAATTACACAGATTTTATACAAGCGTTTTATAATTAATAACTAATAAGCACCAGGTATAACAATAGTAAACATTTAATTTCTAAATCATATTATACAAAAAATACCCATAGGCACAAATAATGTTTGAGATTTGAGGGGGCTAAAGATTTTGATGTAGGAATTAATATTTTTTTCATATTTCGGAATGTTGTGTAAAATCATGAGGTTTTTTTGGTGGGGGGGGGCTATACCACGGTTAGGGTGGTGGCTTAGTTCTCCGCCAATCCACCATTGTTTGCGCTTATGCAATTTCCTAAATCTAAAGTGTTTATATATTATATTGAAATTGTTTTACAAATAAAAATATAAATTTACAATAACGTAGTTCAATACGTAATTATAATAATTATGACTGTAGATTCTATGAGATGCATGAAGAGAAAGTAACCTATTGGTAACACCTCATTTAATTATTTATTTATTAGTTTCATGAATCACGATTCCAGATGCGTTTTGGCGGGCGAGGAGGATTGTCAGAAATATAAAATGAGACGGAGGCCATATTATTTTTATTGAAAGGTTAGTTTTGGAGATTGATTTAGAATTAAAAATCTTGTAACGAAGTTTGGGAAGGTCGTTATTATAACAGTCATAATTTGTAGAACTTTGTAATTTTATGTCAGTTAGATACGGGATTACGGGCACCAGTAATAAAACGGAGCGATATAATGTTAGATGGTTTAGTAGAGCCCCAAATTTGTATAGGTACTATAATAAGACCAAACTATTCTGATCACGGCAGAAGTAACTCTGTAGGTAGTAGGTACAAGATTACAAAATTAACTCTTCTCCATGTATACACTTAAGTTATTCGTAATTCGGAAACATACAAATTTTACCCTGATAAAATGAACCCATAATTTTTTCTCTATATTTTCATTATTCGCCTCATATTATTTAAATAACTCTGATATTGTCAAATAATAATAAGTTTAAGTATCTAATTTTTTTGCACTAATATTAGGCATAGGTACCTATGTACATTTTTCTTTTGACACAAGAAATCTGATACTACAATTTTGAGCTCTTTACTATTTAAGAGCCTTTGTTAAAACGATAGCAATTTTTACCTAGAATTTATTCCTCCGAAAAATATTCTGTACTTGTTTTCCTTCTTTAAAACTGGGTCTCTATTCAAAATGTTTAATGAAACAACCAACACAGGCATTTAAAACGAATATAACGTGTATATGGTGGGAATAAAAGTTTCTTTCCAGAAATAAGAACATTATTTTCCACAAGTATCCAACCATACATATATTTTACTTATTGTTCCAACACGAATTAGTCATAAATTAATTTCTCGGTTCGTAATAAAATATACCTGCACCTTAATACTTAAAAATCAGCAATTTACGCCCGATATACAGATTAACCATATTCAACCAGAATATAACCAGATTCAAGGTTAAAAACGTCAAAAACTGAATAAACTATATCTATAGGTAACATTGTATGATATTGTACATCTACATAGGTATATTGATTATTATACATCAACATTGACTTATATACATACTAAAATAGATAACAAAAACCGGGGTTCGATATTATCAAACCATCTAGAGAGTATACCGAGTAGAGAGATGTTACTCTATGTTAAAACATATACAATTACTTGTAAAATATCAGTTATCACCAATGATAATTACTATTAAAAGTGCTAAGTATAGTATTAGTGAGCTGGTTAGGTTGGGTATTAATTTTAGGTTCAATTAATAACAGTGATTTGTAGGTATAGTGTATACAATACTGGCTAGTGGCTAGTATAATAACAAAATGTAAAAAAAAAACATAATTTTTTTTTCTGAAATAAACATATAATCTCACACTTATGTAAAATTGCAATAATCATTTTATGAATTAAATATTTTATTGAGATAGAAACTCCCAATTTCTGTCATCATAACTTTTATACGAGAAAGCTGTGAAATTATTCAATGTGGGATATGTCCAATATAAAATGATCGGCCCACAAGAGATAATTACGATGTATATTGTAAGGTAGACGCAGTGTAGTAGTTTAGTAGGTATAATATACAGGTTACTATATATGGTTAATCGTTAAACTATGCGTAATATATTTGACTATTTTTGCATGCAGAAAAATATCTGTAGTACAGAGATGATGATTAAATTAAGAAATACTTTGCTTGAACCTCTAAAGAAATTGTAATTAAACTTATTTTTCGAGTGGGTAGTCTCAATGTTCTATACAACTTACATAATCTTATTATAAAACCACCTGGGCACAAAATATTTTTAATTTTGTCTATTGTCATAAAAACAAAGTTGAAAACACATCAAATTAAATATCACTATACCAACAGAACTTAAGTAGATTATGTCAACAATTTTATATTATAATTGCTATAGGTTAACTATATTAAAACTATTGATTATAAAATATTATTTTTATATTTTAGTAGGTTGTGGTGTATTTTATACATCGTCCAAAATTACAATTTTTTTTATCAACAGTTGGTTATTTTTGTATATTTTTTAAGGTACGAAGTTAAATATACATATCGTCTACGAAGTTAAACTAAAACACTGGACATAGAATAAAAACACACTGAAATTTATAATAAAAAAAAAAAAAAACTGTCTGGGGGGGAGGGCGATATATATATATATCACTCAGATCTGAATATTATTATTTAGTTGCATGAACATATTTCACTGTATTTCAGTGTATCTATATTATAGATACACTGAAAATCTATATAATTGAAAAATTTGGTACAAAAAACCAATTTACTTGTTTGTTGATAATGAACTGCTAATGCCGCTATCATAAAATATATCATCATCATCTTCCTCATCTTCTTCGATATCATCACCATCGTCTTCATCATCCTCGTCTTCAGCTAAAGCCTCTTCAAGAGCTTTCTTTCGTGCAGCTTCTTCAGCCATAAATTTCTCTCGGCTTATGATCACATCGCCATTCTTGTGAATCTCTTTTTTGCTCACACAAACCGCTGTATATGCATCTTCAAGTAGACAGAGTTCTTTTTTTTTGCAACGCAGAGGTGTGCAAAGGTCACCTAAATTAAAAAATTGAGTTTGGTTTGTAAAATATATTATAAACAGCCTGATAAAAATGATATAATCTAGGTATACTTCTTATACAAACTTAATAACAAAAGTTTTTACAGGTTCGGGAATAAAACTGTATAAATTATTTTGTGAATCTATATACTTTCGTAAGCAGATTGTTGGCAATTTTCTACAGTTATTATCAGGGAAAATAAAAATCGTGAATTTTTTATGCAAAATGTATATATCAAAAAGCACTTTTCTTGCTACCATAACATTATATTACTTAATCTCAACGACAGTTTCTAAATTGAAATTTTTCTGGATTCAAACCAATCCAATATAATCCCACAGCAGTATATATATCAGTAAATAAATTCAATAAGAACTATAAAATAGAGAAACATATCAATTGAATAAATATATATTAAAATGCTTAGAAATACAGTAATGACTCATCATTGCATTTTGTCACTGATTAATTAAATAAGTATAGATAATTCAATGATAAGAAATCAAAATTACAAACATTTTTAAAATTTAAGTAAATAATGTATGCAATTAAAGCATATAATACAATAAATGCAAATAACACTAATTGTTATAGCTAAGATAAAGTATAACAAAGCTAAAATACGAAACCAACTCTATTATAACATTACTGGTCAATCGCAAAAAGTTAAAATTTTAGTTATAGTTATAGTTATCCACTATAACAACTATATGGAACTGTTATTAAATACTTATAACTTATAAGTTAAAAGTAATATTAATAATAATAACATAATTAGGTATTATTATTGAACAATACTTAGTGAACATTTGTATAAATTTAAAAACAAAGAAGAGAATCACGTTGGTTTTTAAAATTGCAGATTTGTGTAAACCTTTATTTAACAAAAGTATTGTGTTCCACAAAAATAAAAACTATATTCGAATAAAGATAAATGAACTTTGATACATTTCTATGAAAATTAACTATATAAAATAGCAAAGGAATTTACATTTCCAAATTGAATTAAAGAAACCAATGTATATTTTTATATTCTCTTGGTCTGAAACACTTGTGTAGCCTGTGTTTTCTTATAACATGTAATACTATAACACAAACTTGGTCGATACCCCATAACTGAAGTATAAGCATTTTCAGTACCTACCTACGCTTAGCTTCTTAACCTGTCAAATATGGAAGACATATTAGAACCGCACCCATTTTTATATAAATAATAATGTTTCAAAAAAAGTATGAAGTATCTATACTGCGTACCGATAATGCGCCACACCCTATAAGACATACACACACAAATTCGACACCTGAGAAGACTTTTAAGTTATGAAGAACTACAAGGCTATAACGATTTCAATCTTATGAAATGGTCTACCAGTTTTAATTCTATCGTGGAGAAGGCATACATACCCCATTTCGTTTACAGTCGTAAAGATCTTTTATTATACTCTGGAGATTATATTTTTGGAACAAATGTAATACTTCTCCTGTCACAATACTATTAATATGCAAATTCGAAAACGCTTGAATAACCTATATTGTATATAATATGTAATGTTATGATAATATGCATAAGACGCCAAGACTAAATCTTTTAAATGCACAAAGTAAATGAAACAGCCAACTTTTAAGAAATGAAACTAATAAACTAATTAATTAAGATTGACACTTACTGTTTGGATCATGAATCCATCTCTTTTTTTCTCCAAACTTGCCGATATCATTTGCAGGCTTTGGATTTTCCTGTAAACATATTTTAATTATAATTATTTATTTGCTGATCCGTTTTTAGAATATTTGTAAAAATAACTATTTTTAATAATATCTGCGGTAGGTATCATAATAAAGGTTCCCATATTTTATTAAATGTTTAACCAGTCAACTTGTTCATTTAACTAGTTTTCTTTATCGGTTAAAATAAACATTTTCTCTTTTCATCATTGCTCATTTTTTATTCAGATGATCGTAAAATAAGCAATTTATTTCTAAAAGAAATTCTGTATGTCAGTCAATGTGAAGTATAAGGATTTGCACGTATTATAGTGCTTGTGAACACTTGTCCTTGTATTTTATTATTTCACAGAATTAAAATTATTTAAAAATATTTAAAACTATAATTGTTAATTATAAAAACCAAAAATTACAAAAAAAATTAATTTTAATAATTATTAAAAAATCATTAATTATAATTTATAATTAACGTCAGATGTAACTTTGATATTTATAAAAATTTAAATTTCAAAATTATTTTATTAAATATTACTTTAAATTTATAACTTTATAGCGATTTTAATATAATTAAGAAAGTATGAACGATTAGGGATGATACAAATATAATAAAAATATTGTTATTATTTATATAATTACATAAGGTGAGGTGTACCTACTGCAGTAGGTAACTAAATTGGATTTTAAAAATGATTAAAAAAATACTCAATTGTATTCATTACTAGAAATTTGCATAATATACATTTTTAAAACCGTATGCACACTTTATAGTAGAAGTATAGAACAAATCGTTTGATTTTAAAATTACACTGCAGTACCTACATAACGAAATTTATTTAGTATTTTGGAATAAAATAAGAACGACTTGTCCATGTAATTAGTTTTCTGGTATTTCAATGTTTCAGCAATATAATATAGGTAAGTAATTACTTCTAAATATTAATGATCTAAAAATGTAAATGGGTAGACGTAAAATTATTTTTATAACATTTTATTGAGATTTTTGAATTGTATATCTTATATTATTTGGTGATCTTTGGTTATAAATTATAAAGTTCGGTAGGTAAGTCAACTTACTTTTCTTATACGTAAGCACAACAATGTTTATTATATTAATAATTTAATAATTCAGGTTAGTTATTAAAATATAAATTAAATTAGAAGAATCTATCAATATAATCGTGTTTTAAATACCTAATAATTATTATACCTTACAAATGTTTGTAAACTATTATAAAGTGGTTGGTTATATGCATGTTATTATACATATAAAATATACCTATTTATTTTTTACAAATAGTATTTTTATGTGTTTTATAATTTTTCACACCATATTAATATGAATATTGTAAGTAAACTTTTCAATGCCAGTATTACAAATTAAAAGCGTAGTGACAATAATAATATATATTATTATATTTTACAAAACAATAGCAATATTCAAATTTTCTTTACAATTCTAATGCAATTTAAACGGTTGATACGGATTAATGACCCTTTTACATTTGATATATAATCGCCTAGTCTATTGTAATTGTGTTTAAATATATGTTCGAACAAAACCATTTTATACACCCATCGTCACTAAATTATAAATATATAAATCGATTAAAATAATATGTGAAGATTAAAAATTCAAATGAAAACTCAAATAAAACCTCATCACGGATAAACATCCATGGACGTTTAGAGGAGAAGACACGCATTGCTATATAGTTTAAGGTTTAAACCTTAGAGTATATAATAGTAGGTATATGACGTATGTATGAGTAATCCAAAACTATATGACATACCTATCCATAATAATGCTAATGCTATATAGTATACCTATTATAGTTACTACTTACTGCTACTAAACCTACCCACTCGTGTGTGCACACGATTACACGAATATAATTTAATTTGAATGACGCTTATCCACACGTATTACACATTGCGCAAACGTACCTATATACAACGAGCGCGGTTAACGTTTATAATAACGTTACATTACATCCGACGCTTTTGAAATAAATTTATAAAGCCCGACCATAGGTATACCTATATATTATTATATTCTACGGCTGTGCAGTACGCACCGCGCGCATACTATCCCAGCCGAGTACTGATGCCATAAATATTCTAAATCACATAGGCGAAAATCCTATTTTCAATATCACGGTTATTTGTCGTAATCGCAAATAACATCGACCGCGCGTGCTCGTTTGATGGTGAAGCGAGAAAGACTGTATATTATACACATTTATTATAAGCACACACACACACACACACACACACACACATATTATAATATACATAAACAAATCGAGGAAAACGAGCATTAAATGTGACGTTTAATTTTGAGCATAATAACGTACACCACTGCACCGCTGCACTCGTGGGAAGCCAAACGATAGTTTTTAATATTTTATTTTTTCACACATTTTACGCATTCTATTTTGTCGCAGCTTGCAGTAATAATAATGATATTTCATAAATGATTAAACCACCCACCGTCATTGCGTAGTCGAGAGAATTTTTTTCGCGTGCCACATTATAATAATAACGCGACACTCGACGGCGGCTACCTATTATAATACGCTATACATTATATTTTTAAGTACGGCAGAAGGTATATATGTGTATAATATCACTCTCTCTCTCACACATACACGCACACGCAGACCCACACGAGATATTATAAATTACTGGAATTATAATTATATTATACCAGCAGAAAGAGCATATCGTTGTCATACTGACCGAGGGGGTAAATCGTGCAAAAGTAAAAGCTAAGGATGTTGATGATGGAAATACTGTGCACAGTGTGTATACGCGTGTGCGTGTGTGTTGTGAACGCGTAAATGGGTAAAGCCACGTATAAAGAGTACAAGCCGCCGAGAGAACGATGGGGTTGAGGATGATGTGGTGGGGTTGGATGGCTGATGGGGAGGAGGGGTTCGTGGCGGTGTCCCACACCTCCCCCGTGCCACGGGCGCAGAGGCGGCAATCCATGTCAGCGGTGTATTGATTTTTATACTACCACTACTACTACTACCTACCACTATACTACCACCACCACCGCTACCACCACTACCACCGCACCCACTACTACGGCGACGACGACGACGACTACGACTACGACGACGACGTCGCCGCCGCCGGCTGCTCTTCCGCGCGTTGCTCGTCGGCCGCCGCTGTTTCATATTGCGCCAACGCCGCCGCCGCGCTACGTGTCCGTCCAATATTAGCCTCTAAAAACAGCATTTCAACCCTCAACCCCGACGACCCCACGCTGCACCGGAACGGATTTTACGCACCCACACCTGGCGATTACCCCATTTACCATTATCGGTCGACATCCATTATTGATGAACCATATAGTTGGGGATCGATGCACGACGACCACGCGAGAAAAATATGATTTTTTTCCACCCTCGCACAACACAATGTTATTATAAATTATAATGTATACCGAAGCAACTGTGCGGGATCGGTGGCCGGGGGTGTAGGAGGTTGAGAGTTATGTTTGCTAACGTCAATATGGCCTAAACTACCTATGTATATACCTATACTCGTCCCCTGCACGATCCTGTATAATATTATGTGTGAGCGCGCACTATATATATATACACAACACAGTGTTACACACTTCATATCGGAGACGCAAACGATTACACCCCGTCGAGCGTTATTGTATACTCGGAATGAATCGAATTTACATAATTAGATAAGCCGCGAGAAATCGCCGTCTTTCCGAAGATACACACCCACACACACATGTTTTTATACAATGCGTTTGTGAATTTAATGCACGACCGAAAAAATTCGAACGAACCGAAGTCTGAACTTATATACATAACTGTCATATAATATGTAGTATGTACATGAATATTTCTCAAAAGCCATACAGTAGGTATCTTATAATAAAGCGCTTTCACATTGACGTCTTGAAAAATATGTTCCTTGTATGCTCGAACAAGTCAAATAATATTATCTTATAACTTATTACGGATTACCTACAATACTGCATACGAAACAGCTATTTCCGTGTGCATAATATACGACAACAATTATCTAATAATCATACATATTAAGTTTTACACAATAATATATTCATCTTATTACTTTTAAATCCTCAAGGACTCAGACCACTTCGACCAGGAAAATATTGTTTATGATCCCCATAATAATTTTTAAAATAACCCGTATACAAAATTATGTATAGTACAAAATGCTTTGAAATTCAATACAATATATTCTATAAAGAAATTGATATTAATAAAATGAAGAATCATATTTCATCACAGTTCACAGATCACAATAAACTATTCATAAATAAAATAAAATATCGTAAGATTAAACATGAGGCAATACTAAAAAAAAATCAATACAATAAATTATTACAAATGCAACAAATTCATAAACTTTAGATAATATGCATTTGCATATTTTTCAATAATTGAGTTATTTCGGTAAAATGTTATTTATATTATTTATTATTTATTTATGTTATTTATAGGTAAAAGAAAATGCATTCAATTTCAATGATGATATACTATAAACATTATACGAAGTATGTACTGATATTGACTAACATTAAATTACATAGGATTAAAATATTTTAATTGTGGTACTTGATATAGCTTAATATTAAACACTTTTAATTTTTTTCTCCGTTAATTACAATAGTTAATTATGTATACTTGTATATAGGTGTAGTACCTATAGTATAATCAATTCCAAAAGCTATAATACCCTTTCGAAATTAAAATCAAGAAGCGCATAATATACATTGATGCACTTGATAACCAACTCTACCGAGACGGATAATAATGTAATTAAATTATATTTGATCAAACGCACTTTATATAATGAGTAATGACTGTGATATAGTTAATTGCATTTTTTCCCCTCGACTAGTTCTAACAATAGGCACGACTGTCGTACAATACAATTTATAAACTGCATAAAATACTATAACTAAGTTAATTTGCATATACATTTTCTATAGTATATCATGAAATAAAATAAAA